GACCCTCGGGCTGTGTCTCAGAGAGAGGGGTGCGGGTGTGGGGAGACCCTCGGGCTGTGTCTCAGAGAGAGGGGTGCGGGTGTGGGGAGACCCTCAGGCTGTGTCTCAGAGAGAGGGGTGCGGGTGTGGGGAGACCCTCTGGCTGTGTCTCAGAGAGAGGGGTACTGTACCTGCAGCAGGTGTGGTGAAGACAAACTGGGACCTGACACTCTTCAGGCGCTTCTGTACCCAGTAGGCTATGGCTTGCACCTGCACCAGGTATGAAGTGCTTGGCTGTAGCCCTTCAAGTTCAATTTCTGGAGTGACCTGCAATGAAACCCATGAGACAAACACATCAGTAATCTCAGCTGTTAAACACACACATAAGACACCGAGGAGGATTTATAGCCAGGTGCCGAGCCATAAAAAGAGTGCTCACATGGACTGCACGAAGTTCTTTTATTGGAACCAAATGGGATCAACATATTCATCTCAGTCCTGTAACACAGAGAATAATGGACCTTATTCAGATTTTAAATGAGTAGGTCCTCTTTAAAGAAAAAAAAAACAATTTAGCTGCCATTTCATAAATGGACAGTAATGTGAAATGTATCACCTGATTCTGTTTAAGCAAATCCATTGTTTTTAACTTTTGAGAAATCGTGATGAAATATGTTATTACAAGAGGAGAGGGTTAACAAAATAATGTGCAGGAACAATCTGCATTTTCCTCTGTTTTTCAGAACACAGTCTACATCAGTCGTTCAGTTCACGAAGGTTTCAGACCATACGTCTGGTATGCTCTTTAAATAAAGGCATGTAACCTTCCCGTCTACTTGCATTTCATCTGTTAGAAGAAGGGATGTCAGCTATCATTTCTGGTTATTGTAAATCAGGATTACCCTCAAAGCACAGCTAGCCAAAATACTTCATTCCCGAGTACACGCGTGTGCAAACGGATCACAGTCCCTTTGCCGGCTCCTGCCCTTCTGCATCAACGTACAGCGTGTTTCCCCTTTCTCGTCTCGCCATGCTTTGAAAAGCACGCCGATACAGCGTAGACAAAACAGCGCAATGTCAATGCGAGCCCTGACCAGGATTTAGATGTCAAGGCGTTGTTTCATCTGTGACGGTGTGTTTGATTTGCGCTGACACGGGCCCACGCTGAGCTCAACGAGCTCCGCAGCTGCCAGTGGGCCACATGTGCGCGAAGGGGTGGGAACTCTCGTAAAAATTCTTCCCCGCGCTAGAGCGGAAGACTCGACTGCCACCTCGATCAAAGGGAAGAAAGGTTAAGAGATTATAACAAGGTACAGCCACTGCCCGCTTCTCCATTAATAACACCTGAGACCCTGACCTCGCACTACAGTTACACCAAAGTTGATGGGACTTTAAACAAGTCACAGACTGGCCGTTCATAGCTACCATGACACACTGCAGACCCCTGACGGTGTCCTGATCTCGCTGCCTCCTGTGCTCTCGCCCAGCGTGTATCATCCAGCGGAGAGGAACGCGTATCAGATTAAGATGCATCTCACAGAGAAGCATCTTCCACAGGTACGATACAGGACAGAGAGCACCTAGCAGGGCGGTGGCTGTCTGGCCAGCAGTTTCATTGCCGTGTGACACGCTTGAGTCGGTTTCTCCCCTGACAGCAAAAGCCGCTCAGCTGACCCTCACAAAGGCCAACCCCCAGCGGTCTCTGGACACAGGAGTTTATTTTGCGTCCAAAACTGGATTTTTTTAAAGCATTTTCAGGGGCTGGGCATTGGAAAGGTGGACCCCAGCATGACACTTATGGTAGGACCACACAAGGGTGCTATCTCTTCACTTTCCAAGTGCTTGCAGGACACAAGGCCGGTGCCAGCTGTGTAACAGGAGCTATCGAGTAGGGGCAGGGGGAGCGTACCCCTTCGGTGACTCTCGAGCTCTCCATCTTGTCTTCCTGCCCCGCCGTGCTGGGCTCCTGGGGACCCCAAGAAACCCTGTAGTGACGGATGGCCAGGTCCTCCTCTCTCGGGGCGTCCCAGCGCAGAACCACATTCACCCGCCCGTCGGCTCTCGCCGTGACATTCCCGCTCCTGATATTCCTCGGAGGCTCAGGAGGGGTGGGATCTGCAAGGCACCGTGTCAGATAGTTAACTGCGGGCGTGGGGCGACCTCTACAGCAGCTGCACATCAGTGGGCCTGCAGACCGTGTTCAAATTCCAACCAGTCATGAGCTCAGTTCAATCCAGCCTGAAGATCCAGCTGATGAACTGCCTGACGCCTGCCTTAGAAGTGGTTTTCTAGGACAACAGCTACTGAACACACTTTGATTCCTCACAGCACTATCTTTCTGCCAAGGAAAGCTGGCACTGCAGTCTGAATCCTGGATTCAGAGACATTTCCGCAGCAGGGCGACAGCTCGCGACAACTGTCAATGCCCGGCATCTGCAGGAGAGAAATTCTTAGTCAACTTTAGAGACGCAGAAAGAGAGATGGATTCACAGACAGACAGAAGAACTAAGCAGGAGAGATTTTTATTTTACTGACAAGCACTTTAGGTGTTATAGTATGGTAGACTATAGTATACATTATCTCAGTTCAGGTGTGTGGCTGTGTCAGCATGCGTAGGCTGCAAAGGAACAAGTAAAGGTTTATTTCAGCTGTAGAGAGAAGAAAGAAAACACAATGTTTCGTCCCTTCTTTGGAGCTCACACCTGAAGGCTCCACGGCCGAAGCCTTGTGTTTTTTTTCCTTCTCTTTTCAGCTGGAATAAACCTTTACTTGTTCCTTATCATCTCAGTTTTATCTGATTATTCCGGTTTTGTACAGTGGAAACCATGACCAGTTCTGGAGAATCCCGGAGACCATAACCCATGGAAAAGCAACGAAGGAGAGCAGGAATGTGAGTGGGAACAGGCTGCAGTGAAGAAGGAGCAGGAGTGGGGGTTCAGAAGGGCTGATTTTAAATTGCCCTGAGGCATAAGAGAGGGGGACAGAGAAAAAAACTGTTTCTAGCAGCCCTCCTGCTCCCCTTCATTTCTCAGCTGCACGTCTGCTCTTCAGATCCTTCATTTAAACTTCACAGCTTTCAACTTTCTACCCAACTTACTGTGTAAAGAAGGATTTATTTGGAACAGCCAGCATGCGAAAGGCATTAGGGCTAAGCTGCCTCTGGTACTCCTACAGGCAATGACAGATCCGTGATGTGAGCAATGCTGCCTGAATCTCCCACTGCAAAAGGATGGATGTTTCTGTCATCCATCATAGTCCGGTCAGGCATTGGCAGGGCGTAAGAGTGTGGCTCCTATTTGTCTGACTTGTTGCTTATTAAAGGTTAGAGTCCAGATGACCGGCCATGGAGCAGGGCCAGCACACGGTTCCTGCATCTCTGATCAGCTCTCCTCTCCCTGCAACTGGACTCTCACAGTGAAATCTGCGAATCCCTAAGGCACACAGCAGCAGCTGACACTGAGTGTCCACTGAAGGGTCAGCTTTGGCTCGCCTCCATGGCTCAGACACACTCCGCTGTTTGGACCACTGATGCTCCACTCCAGGACTCAAAGAGCCACATTCTGGCATTTTTGCCAGGTCTCCCTGAATAATGACCTCCTTCAGACCTGAGAAATGTGATGAATTGCCCCAATTAAGAACATTATTAAGGCAATTAAATAATTAAGAGGTCAGGTAAAAAGAAAACCAGGAGACCCCTGTGACCCTGGGGGGCTGGAAGCCTTTTTCACAGTCACTAATTGATCCCCAGTGCTTGTGGGAGTGAGGATCCAGAGAGGGAAAAGTGACATTTCATGGTGACAAAAAAGCAAAAAAAACTTATCGGAGTCATTGCACAGAAGAAAGTTCATTTAAGAGCTTTAGAGTGGCTTTTAAATGTGACACAAAATTCCCCAGGGGCTTAAACTGAAATTGAGCAGGAGTCTTGTGTTTAATATGTGTAATAAAAATAAACGTCTATAAAGACAGGCCAAGACGCTGAGACTACAAAACTGTCAGGTCTCCAGCCCACAAAAGCCTCATAATGAGTTATCAACTCAGCATCTGGTCCTCACTGATATTGAACAGCACAGGCTTTTCACCAGCTTATGAAGTTAGGTGAGAGAGGGGTGAAAATAACCTTAGGTGATAGGAGACAAGTAAATTCACCCTCTCCAGAGCACGTCAATCAGAGGAAAGAGAAGATTGCGTTCCTGAAGCGCTGCCCACACCGCACACTGCAGCTGGAAGAGACAGGCTTGCAGCCATTGGGAAACTGAAACAGGAGTTTGCCTCTAGGCTGTTTCCACAGGAGTTGTGTTTCGGCCCCCCAGCTCTCTTATGACCGACAGCGCGACAGAGACAGCACCACCGCAAGATGGGAGAGCCCCAAAACAAAGCTTCTGTTTCATCCAAGGGGAGCTTAATAAAAATCGAGTTTTGCTTCTTTCAGTTACGGGGGGGGACAGCTGTCACTTAGATTTTCCTTCCCTGCCTTATCAGCACACCGTGCGCTTTCATCTGCGGCTTTCCCCAAGCGAACCCTGACCCCGGCATTCCTCATCCACCAAAATACTTCGCCGTTTGATAAATACATCTAATTATTCGAAGATGTTTCAGTGACACACAAAACTAATGGAGAAAAACTCTTTCACCAGCGCTTTAATGCCCATCGCCATCACTCCTGTCCTCCCCCTCCTGACTCCAGATACCGCGCGCAGCTGTTCCTGTTCATCTTCCAGTAAGCCCTGCGCCTGCGGCGTCACAGAAGCGAGCCAGCACGTAAGATGGCACTGCCGCTCGGACAAGCGTGACGCTAACGCTGGGTAACGCGAGGGAAAAGGCTGGAGAGAATTCGACTCTGAACCTGGAGCCGATAAAGCAGATTGGTAGGAAAGAAATATGAGCCGTATCGCAAAAGCAGTTAATCTCTGCCTTCTTCTTCCTGCCTAAAACAATCTCATTCCCTGTCTGCGGACCTGCTGACACGTACACTTATCTCCCCGACAAAGCTGCTACTTTTTGCTTTTCTAAAAAAGATGCTCTCAAGAAGCAGGAAATTTCAGACGCACACGAAGCTGATGTTTTCTTCTCACAACTGAAACAGAAAATCGGCGTACTTCATCCAGACAGGACACTGGGCCTGCTGTGTGTTGTGGGTATTTCTGTAGCTACACTACACACGGAGTCAACAGCAGACAAGCCCGGCACGCTGCTTGAGTTTTTGAAAGCAGATTTTCTGTAATACAACATATTACACAGCACTGAGAGGAGTACAGAAAATGAAGCGCTGGGTGATTTTTCTATAGTTCGCATTTGGCCTGGGCCAGGGTTTTGTCCAAGATCACTGGCTGGTGGAGCACAATCTGGGCCTCTGTCCTCACTTCCTGTGCTGCACTGCACTTGGGCATTGCTTGGTCTTGAGTCTAATTGGCATCGATGTGAGTGTTTTTGACTCCACAGTAGCAAATTGGGGGAAGAGTTAGGTGGCAAAAAGCTTTGTTAGTCCTGTGAGAGATCTGTTTGAGTTAGATAGCATTGCATCGTGGCGCCTATATGACATCAGAATCTGAAATATTATAGAATCACCAGGATTGTCATAGCAAAAGGGGAGGGATATTTATGCATTCGGCATATTTTAGTTTTTATTTTTTATCTATAGTTTTCCCCAATCTAATGTCTTTCACCCCTGAAAGTGTTTAGTTTGAGCATTCAAGATTTAAATCAAACTGGAGCATCACAATTGGGACATCGCTGGAAGGGGACGAATACTTGTGCAAAGGTTGGCAATTTAGTTCGCACTGTACAACAGAAAACCCCCAGCGCTATTACAGTAATGAGAAAAATGAGCACATTTCAAAAATGCAGAAAGCTGCCTAGCGAACAAGAATCAAATATTTTTATTTTACTGAAGATGGAGGACAGACATGGAAAGTATTTGTTTGTAATCTTTCATGGCACTCAAAATATGTTTAACATCTGATTAAAGGTTAAGGACAATTTCTCTTCAAGCTCCAGAGGTTGTGCAGATGTGGCGATTACTGGTGCCAGCAGTGCTTAAACACAGCAGTTTGATGAAACGCTAGAATTCTCTGGGTTCTGCTGCAGACTTTTATAGAGATTTAGTTTGTCTCGCAATGTTGTTGTGGGTAATTCTTCAGAAATGATTTGGCAGACATCTCGTCTTTAGAATGAAAGCTTGTCGTAAGTGTGTTTTAGTATTAATGACTAGTATTTTAGTATTAATTAGAGTGCTAGATTTAAATTAAATTAAATGTATTCATTAACTTTATTCCACCTCCCTCTTGCTTTGCTGCTTTCATTTTTGTTGAGCATGTGAAATTAAGCCACTTTAGCTGACTGTACGTACTGAACAACTGTCTCAACGGGTCATTTACTAATTCTGTACTCTTACTGATGACTTTCATGTGCTAAACTGTCCGTTCTTGTTAAAACAGTGTGAGAAAAGCAACATACATTGCAAAATATGTGGATATTTTAATTTTTTGTTATCACACGAAGATTGGAATTACAGATTAGGGCGAGTATCACAGTATTTTACACTACAAATATGCTGATCGGGCATAAGGTTCTATTGGAAAATACGGTACAAATACTATCTCCCAACTCCTCCACCCCCCAGAAAAACACTGCTCATTCATGCTTTTAGATTTCAGTCAGTTTCAAGTAAAATTAATCTGCAAAAGAGAATACGTGATGTCTGTATAAATTAATTTTTTTGTGCGCAAAATTCAATAAAGGACCAGCCTTAAGGTGTTGCAAGACGTTTGCAGACAGAAAGGTTGCAGACCTCCTGGTTTACGGTTTAGGTTGGAAATCGAATACTGATCTGGCACAGAGGAAGCCTGCATCCCCCAGCGCTGCTCTCCAACATAATTTAATTCCAGAAAAACACCATCGGATCTAGCCGCCAGCCGGGAAGCCGCATGCGCAGTGAGACGCCCGCCCCGCCCCGCCCCGCCCTCTCACCTCGGGAGGAGAGGAAGTGCTTGCTGGGCGTGGTGAAGCCGCGGGTCCCGTGGGCGTTGACCGCGCTCACCCTGAACTGGTACCACCGGTGCGGCCTCAGGTCCCTGAGCAGCGCACGGTCCTCCACGGTCTGGTGTCGGGGGGGGGTAAGGACAGGAGGAGGCACGTTAGAGAGCGATCGCCCGTTACCCGCCGCAGCCTGCAAACGCCCTCTCCCGCCCGGCTGATGAGGCGCTGCTGCCGAGCAAGAGCAGACCCCACGATGTGCAGAGCATCCGAAGAGCCCGTCTTTCAGGTTAATGAAATCCGGGACGATTGCATCCCCGAAGACGGATGGAATAAATTCCGCTGGGGGCGACAGCAGCCAGGGAGGAGTCCCCACTTTCATGCAGCTGAATGGTCCCGAGTGCTCTGATCCGTACGGGGTCAGGTTTTTGAGCACCTCTATTGTTTTAGACAGCAGCTTTAGTGGTTGTTCTTTTCCTAACTGGAATCTGGAAACAGAACTGGCAAGAAGATTCTCAGATCCTGGGTTCTGAAGAAGGGGGGATGCCCTCCTTCCTGGATGCTCTGACAGGACGCCGGGTTACTGTGCTTGTGTTGCTGAGGTAATTGACTGTGAAGCCTCGGACGGCTACAATTACACAGGCCTGTCTGTGACTGTTTCCAGAGCCCAGGCAGGGGTCCAGCTTGCTTTGTCTGTAAAGAGCAAATCGGTGCCTTACGGAGATCAGAAACCTGCGAGGTCAGCCCAGGCCTGCGATGTCATTTTTGAGAAAACTGGTCCGTTTATATCGCGTTTATTACAGACAGTTTCTTTACCAAGCCAAAGCACCTCTCTTACTCTATTAGCAATGTACAGTACATTTCCACTCGCTTAATTCAGAACCTGGCTCTCCAGACCTGGTCCTGCAAAGACTCTGATTTTTGTTGCTTCTGTGTGTCTTCTTCAGTCACTGGCTAAATGTCCACTCTGGCCTAATTTGTACTGTAACTTGCTTGTAATTGTAATTGACTCAATTAAGTAATTGAATATTAGGTTTGTAATTAAACCAGAGAACCTTGCAACTGTAAGAGGACTGGTGTTTGGAAACCTTTACATGAACGAAACCTGCTCAATTTGCATTTGCTCAGTTTGCTAAATTGGCCTCTACAAATAATATTGCCGGATTTTATCCACCCACCACCAGTCATAACGACTGTTGTTTGATTTTACCATGAGGACTGTCTGCCACGGCGTGGCTTCATCTTCGCTGGGGTGTATCCCATAATTCCACCGTCTCTGCAGGATGTGCAGCACGGGCTCCACAGAAACATTGAATCGGGATTTCCAGGAGACCTCCACCAGCCCGGCTCCGTCCTCCAAGAACGACATGTCTTTCCTGGGTTTCAAAGGGACGCCTTCACAAAACAAAACAATAACAAAAAAACACGAATTTACCAAAAACGCCAAAAAAAACCCCAAACAAAACACATTCCCGAATGGTTCATGCGTGTAAAGAACAGCAACATATTTGAACCCCAGGTCTGTCTGCGTCACAGAATGACGCAGAAACACGTCAAGGGAGGCATCTGTACATGTTATGGCCAAAGGATTCAAACTGAGCTTTGAAAAAACAAAAGAAAGAAAGTATCCAAGTCATGGGATACGGAGACAGGGAACCAGAGGGGACAAGGACACCCCAGACTGGGGACCAGGGTTCTAGTGATGAGACTGCAGTTTCCGGGGGGTGTGGGGGCTTGTCTTTGGGTCACTCTCAGCAGCGGGGTCTCCCGGGAGGGTCCAGGGAAGACGGAGTGGGACAGGGGTTTGGCCAAACGGCAAAGACATGCTATTAATTCCGAATGGGGAAATTCCAAGACACCTCTCCTTCCTCTGGAAGCTCCTCCGTTGCGTGGAGGTTCAAGAGGAAAGAAGCTCCACTTGGAAAAAAACCTTCTAAGAAGGAACCCTGAAACAAATAGACACACTAAGCAGATCTGTAACTGCTGGGATTGAAAAGGCCGCTAACTGGAAGTTAAGAAAAAAACCCAAGCAAATGCAACACTACATTCTTAGGGTTCTAAAAGGATCCAGCACTGGAGCTGGGAATCCCAAGCCAAGGCTGTTAGCTTCCCACCCAGGGCAGACGGAGGACATGCCCCTCGCCTTTAAAGAGGTTGGCCGGAGTCTGGCAGGTGTGCCCGCAGCCGTTGGGACAGCACTTCCTGGTCCCAGCGCAGTCGCGGTCCGCGGCGCAGCTCTCCACGCAGGCCGCCGCGAAGCCCGAGGCCTTCTGGGGAGCGGGGCAGTCCCCCTGCTTCCGCGCCCGGATGGAGCTGAGGAACTCGGAGCTGGTCACGCACTCGTGGTGCTTCTGCAGGGGAGAGCGCAGCGCGGACAGCGTCAGGGCCCTGCCTCTGCCCGAACCCGCCCCTCCGCGCCCCCCCGTCCCTTCCCATCGGCTTCGTTTCGCTTCCGAAGAGGGGGTGGCGAGCGTTTCACGAGGGGCCTGTCAATACGACATTTATTCCCAGGCCTCCCAGCAGTGCTCCTGTGCCTCAGGAGCAAAACCTGCACAAATCATCGCCTGTCTCGTGATTGATATGAGTGCCAATAATTTCACACGCATCAGGACAACAACTTAACTGCTGCAAAACAAGGAAACGATACTTCTGTTCCCTCCAATCAGGGAGGTACAATCCTGCCGAGACTATAATGATAAAAAAAAGACCTCGTTTCATTAAAGACGGTGAGCTTGATCTGTCTAAATGTACACTGGCATTTGTAAAGGGAAGGATAACGTTTTCTTGTCATCGCTGAACTAGGCTCCTTACGGTTTCTGCTTGTGTTAAGCTGCAGTCGCAAAGTGGAAACTGTGCGTAAATCGAGAAGGATTAAATTCTCGCTGTTCCTGAGCGGTTTTGTCAGGGTAATGGATTCTCTGCACCAGGGGAATGGTTTCAATCAGGGAGCTGGAGGAGGTTTTTTCTTCTACTTACACAAAAACATATTGCAAACAAGAAGATAAAAGAGTCGAATTATTGCTCCTGAAATGCCATGATCTTTTATTTAAGTATAATAATTCAGGACCTCACTAATGGTTTGTCTTTAGCTCTAATTTGAGTACAATAATTTAGAACCTCACTAACTCTGAGTCAAGGAATTCCGAATCGAAGGGTTTGGACATGAGCTCTTTTTTCTCTTTCTTTTTAGGACTTTTAACGGGCAACTACAAAAAAAAACACTTTCTTTAATGCATCTGTTCTCGTAGACATGCTTTCCTCTCTACCAGGGGGATTTTAATGGCTGGCAGACGTGTAGCACAATCATTCCATTTCTCAACTGCAGAAGACACTGCCTCCCGCTCCGACGGAGAGGCTTCCAGAACTCACCTCACAGGGCTTGTGGGACACATCTCTTCGGGACTCCCACAGTTCCTTGCATGGCTGTAAGCACTGTAGACACAGAGGACAGGCATGTCAACTAGGTCTCCGGAGAAGACACGGAATCAGAGAGCAAACTAGAGACCGGGCTTGAAGCATGTGGAGACCAGTGTGCGGAGCTCAACACAGGGCCATATCACAGCAGCCAGAACCTTTCACGGCTCTCCGTCAACGGAACCGGGAAAAACGTTCCGTAGTAGCAGTAGCAGGAGTCCTCGTCTTTCTCTGTGACGCCTTTTCGAAAGAGTTCTGTTGGGCGCAGTTTGCGAACGGTACAGGCAGGTCGAACAGTGCGCTGGGGCCCCAGACTCTCTCAGGAGACCTGCGCCTTGCTGCGCACTCTCGGGATGTATCAGCTTACGCTAAACCAGCTGCTCAGGGGATGTGTTATGTCCTACCTGGCGGCTTTGTCTGTCTTCTTTAACAACATAGGAAGAGGGCATATTTGGGAATTGTTGTGACAGTGAAAGGGCTGAAGGCAGTAAGGGTAGCTTGGTGGGAGTGTTTTTTATTCCATGGGGATGCGGCTTCTTCTCCCTGTTGCTGTGCCCTGACCTCTCTCCACAGAGACATCCCGCCAGGAGACGGGCAGGTCATTTCCGAGTTTGTTGAGGCCCAGCTTGTGAAAGTGTCAGGCTGGGACGGATCAGATTTCACCAGTGTCTGCATTAAGGCTTGGTCACCCAGCCCCTGCACAGAGGCTGCGGCCCCAGTCACTGGCAAGTGGAGGTGGAACATGGCTGGAACCACAGTGGCAACCAGGGAGGGGGAGACAATTTAATACCCTTACTGGCTACCCCTGTCCCACCTGTCAGATGGAACAGGCCATGACATTCATTCTAACAACCAATGTTGCCACACTTTGTTCTGTAAGAGAAATCTTAATTTACATGGAGGTGGACACAGTACAGAACAACACCATAAATTAATGATCAACAGCTAGCAAGTGAACAGGAAGAAGACCTCCCGTCTGGTCAATAACAATAACAACAAGATGATCAATGCAAATTCCTTGCAGTTGTATTGTGGTTTTCACATGATGATACCAAAGTGCTGGGAGGGACCCATTTCACCCCCGGCAGAACTGCAGCCCCACCTGGTCAACACAGCAGCCCCAGATCAGGGCAGGAGTGAGAAAGTACTGCAGCCGCTGAATTAAAGGAGAGCTTTAGGGAGGCCAGGTTGTGCCAGACCAGAGTGGAAGGGAAAGAGGTGAAAGACATATTCACAACAGTTTAGGGCTAAGACTGGTCATAACATCTTTAAAAGAACTACATTTTTGGTTGTCCAATAAACATCTTGAACCTACCATCAGTAACTGACCTTGAAAGACTCTGCTGAGCAAAACACACAGGTTAGCACCACTACTCCCACCAACAGTGCCTCTGGCTCCTTAATAACCAAGTAGTCAGGTTTAACATCTTATCTGCAGGACAGTGATGACGATGGTGGTGATACATCGCTTTCCGTCACGTTCTCATGCCGATCTCTGTTTGACATCTCAGGACTCTGCACAACTGAACCGTGAAAAGCTGTTTTTGTGTTTTACTGTACTGTAGTTCTATTCATTCAGCAGTATTACTTTTTTGGGTGGTTCCCCCCCCCGATGCAGGCAATCCTTGGAAAACTGCCTTGCCAAGTTGTCACATCTTGTAGCTGCTCAACAGAAGTGCCTCACGCTGATATAGACAAACACTGTGGTAATTTCGTATTAAAGAAATGTGACAAGGAGATTAAAGTGGGTGAAGAGGAAGTAATGAATCATGATTTAGTTTCACTTAAGAAAGAGTGCAGGACATGAATAATCATCCCCGATCCCTCCTGCTCCCTCTGTGCCTGCGATCAGACTGTACTCCTGCTTCTCCTCTCTACGTGTCATTCTCCTCTCCCACTTGACTTCAGGCTAATTCATCAAATGTGTCTCCTCACAGCGTGGCTTTGTACCCCCATCAGCGCACGAACATTTGTACATTTCTTTTAAATGCGTCTGAGAATATGAAGACATCTGTTGTGCGTTACCGAAATGATCATGCAGACATCTGCCACTGCCTGTTTTCCACCGCAAGAGGACCGGTGCTGCACTCTTTAAGGCCGGGCTCTCCTTTCTAAAAATAACTTTGACAAGCCAGACAGGGAGCAGTTTGTGCGCGATTTTAAAATCAATAAGTGAAATGAAACATTCTCTTTTATCCTGGGATGCATTTGACAGCTCATGAGTGCACATACACATCCAGTCACTGACCAAAGTACCGATCATGCTCGGACATAATGTAAGTATCTAATTCATCCTAATCCTGCTTTTACAACTGCTAGAGAGATGGAGTCAATACACCAGTATTACCACCTTGCAGGCCTGTCAGTTCTGGGATGGGAGACCTCCAAGCAAAACCAGGTTTCTGCTCACTGGTGGACCAGTAAGTATTGCTTTTACATCCTCGACCTGAATTTCCAAAATCGAAAAGTCAAAACAATATCCAGGAACACTGTGATGTGGAAGGTGCTGCCCTTTGGATCTGATGCTAAAGTAGTGTCCTGACTACTGGGTCATTAAAGGCCCCTGTTGGCACTGTGGGTAGGAGTAAGGTATAATCCCAGTGTCCTGGCTAAATTCCACTCTGACCCTGGATGATCTGACCTCCCTAAAGCTCCCTCTTAATTCAGGTGCTGAAGCAGTTTCTCACTTCTCCCCTGATCTGCTGTGCAGTGAGGCTGCTGGGGCAGAAGATTGTCGTGTGGCACCCTGGTGTTGCTGGGCCTCACTGGTGGATGACGTGTGGCCTTAAACTTGGAAAGAATCAATGGTGAATGTGTACATTTTAATAATCTTATTAGACTAAAATTGATGTTTCAGAATTGAGGTGCAATGCTTTTGTCAGCCACTATATTAATCAGGAAACGTGGCATACCTTGCTAATTAAGGATTTAAAACCACAATCTTGATTAAAAAAAAAACATATGCACGGGTGTTATGTCTACAAGTCAAGAGTACATTAACAGTAATAACAGAACTCCAGAGTTGGTGACTTCATAAAACCTTTTAATATAAAACGAAATATCTGTTATTCTACCAAAATTAGAGCACTGTCACTCACTCAGTTACCAGTAAAGTTTTTCATCTATAAATGTTTGGAAAAAAACATGGAAAAAAATCACAATTGATATGTAATTTAAGTAACAGTGTGCAAGTGAGTTTTTATAATGTAAAGCAGCTTTCAGTGGATGATTTGAAGATAAAGAATTTTCAATTAACCACTTTGAGTATCAATTCCAAACAAGCTGCCTGTGCAAAACCTATCATAAGGTTGTAATTCCCACAAGACTAACAGATAATGAATTAATGTTACTGAATATGCAGGCCTTGAGAAACGCTGCCATAGAAAATATTTGCTTTCTTATATCCATGCATTCATTTTTTAACTGCTTCTTCCAATACAGGGTTGTGGAGGAGCCAGAGCCTAATCCAGCAAGCAACAGGAGCAAGGCGGGATACCATGCCAGTCCATCACAGGGCAGACTCAGACACACACCCTCACACCAGGGCTAACTTTCCCAGAAGCCAATTAACCCACCAGCGCGCTTTGGGACCGTGGGAGGAAACTGGAGCACCCAGACCAAAACATCAGCTTAACCAAAGTATAAAGGTTTCGTGCAAGTGGTCAGAACCGGCCTTCCTGGGAAAGAATGATGTCATGTGACATCAGCCCGCTGACGGGCCACATGGGCACAGTGTCCCCCTGCGCTGGCGTCTGTGATGGAATCAGGCCCAGCCCAGCTCAGTGCACACAGCCTCTCTCTCATCAGCGCTGACAGATTTCTTAAGCCACCTTTATAACCTCACTTCCAAAAGTGCAAAAAAAGCTACTACATGTCTGGGAGCCATCAATGTGACAACACATTCTTGCACAAGCTCAGGAGATCTGCAGACACAGAGAAATAAGACTGCTGACATAAATCTATATCTCTTCCTCTCCAGGCCTGACCAGAGCACCTATCACCATACCCACGTGTACAACAAAACTAGCCATATCTTTGGAATGAGGTGATAGGAATATTCCTCTTCGCTCCTTTGACAAGGGTTATCCGTGACTAATTTCTAGATATGCAGGCCTGATGTGTGATAACGTGCAATGGGCAGGATCTGTTTTATTGTAACTGACAGCTGACACACACACTCCAGATAAGGCAAGAGAAGGTAAAGCGCCAGACCACCATTACGTCTGTGAACAAATATCATGAAGGCTTTGTAAACAACACACAGTCCCTGCTTCAAATCGGGATTGAATCAGCGCAGAACAGTGTTCTGGCACAGGATTAGGAAACACTATATAGAATTTAAACTGATAACTGGAACTAGCACCTTTGAAGATGCCTGTCGTATTGGACATTCCTCAGACCCCTAAATGTTTTGCAGAAATATTTGATAATTTTTTTATAAGCATCACTGTTTTTGTACTTATTATGATGTTATGTCACAACAAGGAACTAACAGTGCCAGTGGTCCTGGAGGTCACAGCGGGGTCACTGTAAGGTTATAAGGTCAGGTAGCCTGGCTTTATCGAGATCCTCTTGAGCACGTTTCACACAGCAGAGGGCTCGGCCCGCTCCAGTCTACCAAGTACCACTTTACACCATTCTGCATACTGGCTCAGCCCACCTAGTGCCACAACATTCACCAGAGGGGCCGGAAAAGGAAAAGAGGAACGAACACATTGACTCCTGAAGAAAATCAGCTGAATCTTGAAAAAGCTAAATAACTGAACTTTCAACTTGCAGGCTTTAAAAATGTGTAGGGAAAGGCTTTGGCTTAGGAAATGAACCTCTTCAGTCTAAAGCAGAGAAGACTTCGAGGGTCCAAGTATTCCGATCGGCCCTGCGGACAGGTTCAGAATCAAAAGTGAGACGCGATCCAGGGGACAGTGGAGAGTGGGAACTACGTGGAGGCACATTTAAAGCTGTGAAAGCAGCAGGCAGTATTTTACACAAAGGGTTGTGGGAGGATGGAACAAGCTGCA